ATTCGACAAACACTCGTCGAAATCGCTGCTTCGTAGGTTGCATTTTTTGAATGAGGAAGCTACGATTTGTGAATTTTAAACAGTAGAAACGAAACAAAAGTTAAAAACTTACGCATTTTTAAGGTGGTGCAACATGTCACTAGTACTATGAAAATACAAACAAGTCGTAGCATCGTGTTCAGGTTTGCGATGAGCTTTAGATAAGTGGAATTTTATTCCGTTATTTCCTTTTATTTATAATTTACATAAAAAAAAATAAAGTGACATCGTAAACTTGTTTGCTTCGAGGTTGTAGTAAATGATGTTCGACAAACACATTTGCTTTCCGATACGAGTGAAGGTGATAATATGAGGCAGGTTTTTTTTATTTCCTTATTTTCAGACATAACATTAACAACAGTGATAAAGATCGACAAATAGAAGGATGAGTGGAGCTTTCAAGTGCTTTGAAAGTCCAAGTGTAATTTACAACGTTATTTGAAACCCGCTCCAACTTTCTATTTAAAAAATAGAAATTTTTTACTTAGGCATATCTTCTGGATTGTAAAATGCTAAGCACAATTCGTCTTATAATGCTCACCAAAATTCGGTAATGTCTTTTGAACATTTTGGAAAATAAAATCTACTTAAATTTTATAAGGTGACATGTTCCCATCCTTGTGCTTTATTATTACGCCTTGATTTTTGTCGTAGATATCTGCATGTTTGGGAAACAAATTCTTAAGTTTTTCCGATTTTTCAATGAATGGATACTTTTTAGATTTTAATTTTGCATTTTTTTTTGTCCTTTTTAGATTTCGATATTTAGTTTTTCTAATTTCGGTTTTTAACTTTATTAATTTTTCCATTCTTTGCAATTTTCCGATTTTTTAGTTTACCTACAACTGTTGCTATTTCTGAATTTTTTACTGTTACAATATTCTTTGATTTTGCAATTTTAATAATTTTAGGGTGTTTCATTTTCCGATTTTTGATTTTTCAGTTTCTCCATTTTTCTACTTATCGATTAGTCGATTTTGCATTTTTACATTTTTCGATATTTTTTTTTTCGCAATTGAATTTTTTAATTTTTGATTTGTTGTTTTTTTTAAATTGTTGTATTTTTGAGTTTTTAGTTTTTCGCTTTCTTGTTTTTTTTTTATAAACCGATAATTATTTTTTTTAACATTATCAATTTTTCGTTTTTTGAATTTTTTTACATGTAGTTTTTCGATTTTTAAATTTATAATTTACTAATTTTAAAATTTTTCAATCCTACAATTTTTTGATTTTACAATTTTTCAATTGTTCGATTTTCCAGCTTATTTAGTTTTTGGTTACCCGACTGTTCATGTTTTCATTATTTTTCATTTCTTTCATTTTCTTTTTACAATTTTTCAGTTTTTCAATTTTTAGATTTTAATTTTTCGGTTTTTCAGTTTTTCAATTTGCGAGATTTCGTTTGGCGATTATTAAATTTTGAATTTTTACTTTTTCGTTTCTTAAATTTTTTGGTTTGCGGTTTTATAGTCACCATTTTAATTAAAATTTTTCTATTTTTTGATTTTTGGATATTTACAATTTTCAAATTTTCCAGTTTATTTATTTTTTAGTTTCTTGATTTTTCATTTTTTGATTTTTCGTTTCTTTAATTTTACGTTTTTGCAACTGTTGCTCAATTTTTCAATTAAATTTTTGAATTTTTCATTTTTTACAATTCTCACTTTTCAAATTTTTTAATTTTTCACTGTTAAAATACTGAAATTTAAAATACAATTTTTGAATTGCTGAATTGTTTATTTTCTTGGTTTTTCAATTTTTCGATTTTTCTATTAAAATTTTTCGTTCTTTAGCTTTTTGAGTTTTTGATTTTTCAATTTTTCGATATTTCAAGTTTTGAATTTTGAAATTTTAGTTTTTTTTGGATAACCAATTTTACAATTTGTCAATTTTTCGTTTTTCGATATTTCCGTTTTTCAACTTTTTTGGATTTTGTTATTTTTAGAATTTTTTTTTTTTTACTTTTTCAATTTTTCGTTTCTTCAATTTTAGATTTATAATTTCTCAATTTTTTATCTTGTGATACTGCGGGATTTTCAATTTTTAGTTTTTAACTTTTTCGTTTTATCAGCTTTTGATCTGAATTTTTTTAATTGAAACGTAAAATTTTTAATTTTTTATATTTTTCAACATCTGCGTTTTTTGATTGTTCATTCCTTCCGTTATGTTATTTTTCATTTAGACTTCTTAATTTTTCAATTTTTAGAATATTCACTTTTTCAATTCTCCAATTTTTCAGATTTCTGAATTTTTGTTTCAATTTTTTGATCTTTCTATTGAGATTTTACGTTGTTAAACTTTATTAGGTTTTGATTTTTCAGTTTCTCGATATTTAAAATTTTCAATTTTTTGGTTTGGGAATTTTCGTTTTTCTTGGATTTTCAATTTTACAATTTGTCAATTTTTAATTTTCCGATTTTTCCGCTTTCGGAATTGATGAAATTTTTGACTTTTTGTTTTTCAATTTTTTTGCATTTTTTTTTAATTTTTAAAACTTTCCTGTTATTAGTGTTCTACTTTTTACTTTACCGTTTTTTGAATTTTAGATTTATAATATTTCAATTTTTTGATTTTTCATTTTTCCAGATGTTCAATTTTTCAATTAGAGGTTTTTATTTTTCACTTTTTAGAACTTTCACTTTTCGAGTTTTCAATTTTTCGATTTTTCGACTTTAAAATCCAATTTTTTGTTTTCTGAATTGTTTGTTTTTTTAGTTTTTCAATTTTTTGATTTTTTTTATTAAGATTTTTCGTTCTTTGGCTTTTTCAGTTTTTTATTTTTCAATTTCTCGATATTTCAAGTTTTCAATTTTTCAATTTTGAAATTTTCGTTTTTTTTTGATACCCAATTTAACAGTTTGTCAATTCTTCATTTTTCGATTTTTCCGATTTGTAAATTTTTGAATATTTTGACTTTTTTTCCAACTTTTTTGCATTTTTTTAACTTTTAAAATTTTTCTATTTTTTAGTGTTTTATTGTTTAAATTTTTGTTCCTTCAATTTTAGTTTTTAACGTTTTCGTGTCATTAGTTTTTGATTTGCAATTTTTTAGATTTTGAAGTAAAATTTTTCAATTTTTATATTTTTCAACATTCGAATTTTAGATTTTATCTTCTTTCAATTAGATATGGTTCAAGTTTCACTTAGATTTTTCAATTTTTAGAATTTTCACTTTTCCGATTTCTAAATTTTTCGATCTTTCTGATGAAGTTTTTCGTTGTTAAACTTTATCGATTTTTGATTTTTCAGTTTCTCGATACCTACTTCAAGCTTTCAATTTTCCAATTTTGGAATTTTGTTTTTCTTGAATTTTCGTTTTTACAAATTGTCAAATTTTTATTTTTCAATTATTTTCGGTTCTTGAATTGCTGACATTTTTGACTTTTTGTTTTTCAACATTTGTACATTTTTATTTGATTTTGAAAAATTTTCTATTTTTAGTAAGAAGTATTATGTAGTCGATTTTTCGTTTTCAAATTTTAGATTTGTAATTTTACAGTTTCGCAATTTTCGACTTTTTCAGTTTTTGGATGTTTTAATTTTTCGTTTTTCTGTTTTTCAAAAACAACAATATCTTGGGCTTTTTCGTTTCTGGATTTTCAATTTTTAGCTTTTGACTTTTTCGTTTCATCATTTTTTTATTTGAATTTTTTACGTTTAAACGTAAAATTTTTAAAGTTTTAGATATTTCAACATTTGAATTTTTTGATTGTTCACTCCTTCCATGGTTTTATTTTTAATTTAGACTTTTTAATTTTTCAATTTCTAGAATTTTCTCTTTTCCAATTTTTCAGTTTTTCCATTTTTATTTTTTCAATTCATCAATTTTTCAGTATTAAATTATTTTTTATTTTCTAAATTGTTCGATTTTTAGTTTTTAAAATTTTTACTAAAACTTTTCTTCAGAGATTTTTCGTTGTTAAGCTTTTTCAATTTCTACTTAGTTTTTTCGTTTTTGGAATTTTCGTTTTCTTGTATTATTATAATTTTTCAATTGGTCAGATTTTATTTTTTCGAATTTTAATTTTTGAAATATTGAATTTTTTTACCATTTGTTTCAACTTTTTGCGTTTTTTTTTGTAATTTTTAAAAATTTTCAATTTTTAGTGTTTGACTTTTTCAGTTTTTTTGTTTCTTTGAATTTTAGTTTGTAATTTCTTCATGTTTTTTAATTTTACAGTTTTCCTATTTTCGACTTTTTCAGTTTTTGGATATTGTTTTGAGTTTTTTCATTTTGCGATATTTCGTTTTTAACATTTTCGTTTCTTCAGTTTTTTATTTGAATTTTTTTTAGGTTTTGACCTAAAATTTTTCAATTTTTAGATGTTTCAAAATTCCAATTTTTTGATTTTTCGTTCTTTCAGTTCTGCAATTTTTCATTTAGATTTTTTAAATTTTAAATTTTTAGAATTTCCACTTTTCCGACTTTTCAATTTCTCAATTTTTAGTTGTTAACGTTTTTGTTTCATCAGTTCTAGATTTGCAATTTTTTAGGTTTTAAAACAAAATTTTTCAGTTTTTAGCTTTTTCAACATTATTCAATTTTTTGATTATTCGTTTTTACAATTATTGTTCAATTTTCAATCGGATTGTTTAATTTTTCAATTTTTAATTTTTCAATTCTTCAATTTTTCGAATTTAAAATTCAATTTTTCGATTTTTTAGATTTGTGAATTGTTACATTTTTCGACTACCTCCCGATTTTTTTTGCATTTTTTTTTTATTTTGAAATGTTCCATTTTAATATTTAACTTTTTTAATTTTGTGTTTCGCAATTTTTCTTCTTTTAGAATTTTCAATTTCGTTTCTCGGTTTCAAATTTATGATTTGTATTTTTTAATTTTCTGATTTTTGATTTTCCAATTTTTCGATATTTCGGTTATCTATAATTTTTTTTTTTTTCATTTTTTCGATTTTACGGTTATTAAATTTTTCAATTTTTACTTGTGCAAATATCAATATTTAACCCCTGCAACATTTTTATTACCTAAAGCGTGATACAAACCTAAGTTTACAAGCAGTGAGCTAGGAAGAACAAACTTATAAGTACAAAGTGAATTTTGGATCTTCACAATCCGTCGAATAACTCAGAAACAGGGACATTTTCCAAAAACTTGTTAAACTTCCGCTCGTACACCGAAATCCAGAATTTTGGAAACGTTTTCTGAAAATAAGCCGCGATGTTCTCCCAGTTTTCATTCATCATCTCACTAAGTTCTCCATCCAAACACCCCTTTTTAAAAATATTTTTAAAATCGAACGTAGCTTTTTCCATTTCCATACGAGAACTCCCATCTCTCGCTCTAAAATACTTCAAATTCCCTTTCTCATATTCCTCCAAATTAAACACAATTTGGAATGTGGGTCTCTCTAAAAATAATTTCCTTATTACCTGAACACCCCACAAGAGTAAAAAGAAATTTTACTAAGATTGATCGCAACTGTCGTCGATGCATCAATCGGCAAAAAAATCAATCGGCCACGAGCTTCAAAGTCGGATTCGTATCGAACATTTGCGAAAGTAATATTAAGGTTCAAACGCTTATGTTCCAAGCTAAAGCTGCAAAAATCTGTAGTTTTGTGAAACTTTTCGGTCTTGTTTTACCTGGCGCTCGTTTTTTCGATTTTCGTGTAGCCCTTAATTTTTATATTGAAGTATTTTTGTCGAATGCCGATAGTTTCGTTTCCGAATTCGACAATCACCTCTTTCGGTGCCTCATAAGGTTCTAATTTTGGTAAACCGTACTCAGGCAGTGGCTCTTTCAGTTGCTGAATTGCGTCTTGAATGGCATTAGACAAACACTCGTCGGAATCGCTGCTTCGTAGGTTGCATTTTTTGAATGAGGAAGCTACGATTTGTGAATTTTAAACAGCAAAAACGAAACAAAAGTTAAAAACTTACGCAGTTTTAAGGTGGTGCACCATGTCACTAATACTATGAAAATACAAACAAGTCGTAGCATCGTGTTCACGTCTGCGATCAACTTAGATAAGTGGACTGTTATTTCTTAATTCCCTTTTATTTATAATCGACACAAAAAATAAAAGTGGCATCGTAGACTTGTTTGTCTCGAGGTTGTAGTAAATTATGTGGGACAAACTCATTTGCATTCAGACATGAGTGGAGATGATAATATGAGGCAGGTTTAATTCGTTTATTTTCAGAAATAACATTAATAACAGCGATAAATATCGAAAAAAGAAAGATATATTTTTCAAGACCTGTTAAAATGAGACGATAAACACAACAGTAAAATTTGACATAGTCTAAAGAGGTGTCAAGCCCATTTTTTTATTTAAAAAAAATTGATTTTATACTTATTGCTAAGCATAATTCGTCTGATGATGCTGACCAAAATTTGGTAACGTCTTTTGAAAATTTTGGAAAATTAAATCTACTTAAATTTTACGATTTGACTTAATTTTTTGTCGCAGATGTCTAGATGTTGGGAGAAAAATTTTTCAATTTTTCCGATTTCTCAATGAATTCATTTTTCTAGTAACACTTTTTAGATTTTACAATTTTCGACATTTAATTTTTCATTTCTTCAGTTTTACAGTTGTACAGTTTTTAGATTTTTCAGTTAATAGATCTTTAAGTTTTCAGTTTTAATTTTTTTCGATAGTTAAAATTGACAATTTTTCGATTTCGCGGTGGCTCTATTTTTCATTTCTCGATTTTTCCCATTTTTCAGTTATTCAGATATTCAATTTTTATTTTCAGATTATTGTTTTACAATTTTTATATTTTTAAATTGCCCGACTTGTAATCTTTTAAATTTTTTATTTTTTTTTACAGGTAATTTAAATATTTTTCAATTTCTCGATTTTTTTCAATTTTTTGCTTATTCAATTTTACGATTTTGCAATTACATAATAGGAGTATTTGTTTTGTCTATTTTTCGATTTTTGATTTTTTGGTTTGTCTATACAGTTTTTTATTTCAATTTTTACATTTTTAATTTAAAATGTTTCAATTATACGACTTTTTAATTTTTTTCTTTATTTTTACAATTTATTTTCAACTATTAAATATTTTAATTTTTTGATATTCCGCTTTTTAAATTATTCCATTTTTCGAGCATTTAGTTTTGCGATTTTTATTTCACATTTTTTTTGTGTGTTTTAAATTTTCCGATTTTTAGGTTCTCAATTTTTTGTTTTTTACTTTTCCAATTCAATGTTTCAAGAGAACAATTTTTTTATTTTAGAATTTTTGGGTATTTCAATTTTGAAATACGATTTTAATTTTTCGTTTTCTCAATTTTTCTTTTTCTCAATTGGATTTTTTACTTTTTAATTTATAGAATTTTCAATTTTTCGATTTGATTTTTTTGTAGTTTTCAAGTAAATTTTTAATTTTTGGGTTTTTTATCGCTTGTTTCTTTAATTTTAATTTTTTAATAAAAATTTTTCAATAAAAGTTGCATATTTTTTTAATTTTTCGATTTAAATTTTCTACGATTACTTAGTCGATTTCACGATGTTAGTTTTTCGATTTCTTAATGTGTGGATTTTTAATTTTCCGATTTGTCCCATTTTTCAATGGTCCTTTTTTTCAATTTTTAGAATTTGAAATTTTTCGTCGTTGGAATTTTTGAATTTTTGTTTTTTTTTTGGTTTGTTTTTTTATTTCAACTTTTACATTTTTAGTTTAAAATCTTTCAATTTGTTATGTAAAAAATTTTTCTTTTCTTTATTTTTACAATTTTCAACAATTTTTTTATTTTTCCATAACTCCAATTTTCTAGTTTTATTTTTTCTATTTTTATTATCCACTTTTTAGATTTTAAAATTTTCGACTTTCCAATTTTTCGATTTTTTATTTTTCATTTGTTCAGAATTACGAATGTAAAATTTTTGGGTTTCTAGTTTTTAGATCTTTAATTACTCTTTAAATTTTTCAAAATCAAGAAATTTTTTAAAATTTTCCGCTTTTTTTTTACGATTTTGCAATCACATATTCCATATCTCTATTTTTCGATTTTTAATTCTTGTTGATTTTTTTTGGTTGTTTATTAAATTTTACGAATTTTCGTTTCTTATTTTTTAATTTTTCAATTCAATGATTTAAGAGTACAATTTTTTTATTTTACAAATTTTGAGGATTTCAATTTTGAAACACGATTTTAATTTTTTGGATTTTTTACGTTTCTATTTCTAGAATTTTCAATTTTTCGATTTTTTTGTTTCTTCAATATTTGATTTGATATTTTTCTAGTTTACAATTAAAATTTTTATTTTTGGATTTTTGTATCGTTTGTTTCTACAATTTTACAAATTTTAGGATTTTTCATATTTTTTTAATTTTTCTATTTAAATTTTTTAAAATTACTTATTCAATTTTGCGATGTTAATTTTTTCGTTTTTCCCGTTTTTGAGTTTTTTAATTTTCCGATTTTTATTTTGCAGTTTTTAGATTTTAAAACTTTTCCCTTTTTCAACTATCGAATTTTTCAATTTTCAGATTTTTGGTATTATTTCATTTTTTGTTTTAAAATTTTTTCATTTTTATTTTTTTTCCAATTTGGGATTCTCCAGTTTAATGATATTGCAATCTTTAAATTTTCTGGACCTTTTATTTTTTTTTGCTATTAGAACTTTTGATGTTCCAATTTTTCAATTTTTTAGTTATTCAGTTTGACAGTTTTTCAATTTCTCTATTTGTAAATTATTTCATTATGTTTTTCGGTTTTCAAATGGTTTTTTAATTTTTCGATTCGTAAAATTCTCAATTCTTTGATTTTTCGATTGCTCGATTTTTTATTTTACAATTTTTCCAGGTTTGAGTGTCATAATTTTTCAATTTTATAGTTTTTCGACTTTTCAACTTTACAATTTTTCAATTTTTCAGTGTTTCCATTATTCAAATTTACGATATTGCATTATTTGATTTTTCAGTGTCTCGATTTTTCATTTCCGGTTTTTCTCATTTCTCAGTGATTGCGTTTTTCGATTTGTTGTTTTTTTATTTTTATTTTGCGCTATTAAAGTTTACAATTTTGGACTTTTTCAATTTTTCGTTTTTTCAATTTTATGATTTTGCAATTACATACATACTCGATTTTTCAATTTCTTGATTTTTAATTGTTTATTTTTTCCATTTTTCAATTTTCCGTTTACTTTTTCGGTTTTATTTTCCCACTTTAAAATTTTTAAATTTTTTGTCTTTGCAGTTTATTAATTTTTCATGTTTTGATTCTTCAGTCTTTCAGTTTGCAACTTTTACATTTTTAATTTAAGGTTTCTGAATTTTCTCTTTTCTTTATTTTTACAATTTTTCAACTATTAAATCTTTTAATTTTGCATTTTTTCAATTTTTCAGTTATTCAATTTGCAATTGTCCAATTTATTAATTTTTCTATTTTTCAATTTTTCAGTTATTCAGTTTTTCAATTTTATTACTTTTCAGCTCTTAGATTTTGTAATTTTTCATTTTTTTTGTCTCTAGAATTTTTCGCTTCGATATTTTTACTAAATTTCAACTTGAATTTTTTTTATTTTTCCATTTTAATATTTGATTTTTCAATTTTACATTTTTGCAATTTTTTATTTTTTCAATGTCCCAATTTTCAACTTTTCGCTTTTTGTCGTTTTTCAGTTTGTCCGTTTTTCGATTGGTTGTTTTTTGATTTTTGTTTCGCAATATTTAGATTTTACAATTTTTACTTTTTTCAGTTTTTCATTTTTTTAATCGTTTGTAATTTTTTTATTTCAATTTTAAAATGTTTCTTTTCTTGTTTTTTAACTTTTTCGTTTCTCCAATTTTAAATTTTTCGGTTATTCAGTTTTGCAAATTTTAGTCAACTTTATAAATTTTCAATTTTTCGATTTTTTAATGTTTTGATTCTTCACTTTATCGATTTTTCAATTTCTGGCATTTTTCCGTTTTTCTTATTTCAGATACAATTCCTTTTTTCTTTTTTTACTTTGTTGATATTTATTTTGCAAGTTTTCGATATTTTATTTTTTGTTTCTCTGATTTTCCAATTTTTTGTTTTCAATTTTTAAAACTTTCAAACTTTCGATTTTTCAATATTCCGATTTTTAATTGTTTGATGTTTCAGTGTTATAATTTTTCGATTGTAGACAGATTTTCTCAACTTTTCAATTTTTCAATTTCCCAATTAGGACTCAGTTTTTCAGTTTTTTGATTATTCAAATTTACGATACTACAATTTTTCCATTTTGCAATTTTTCAAACTAATTTTTTCCTTGTTTTGAATTGTTAATTTATGGATTTTTCTATTTTTCTATTTTCAAATTTCTCGATTTTTATTTAACATTACAATTTTCCGATGTTGCAGTGTTACAACTTTTCAACTTTTAACTTTTCGATTTTTCAAATTTTCAACGTTTCATTTTTCATTTTCTTGATTTTTGAATTTCCAAAGTTGGATTTTTCAATTTTGTTTTACAATTTTGCAATTTTTCGATTTTCAATTTATAACTTTTTGATTTTTTTTGCTTTTTAATGGAATTTTGAGTTTAATTTTTTTGATTTTTATTTTACAATAGGTTTATTAAATTTTTCTTTTGTAATTTGAAAATATTTGACTAATTTGCTTTTTTAGTTTCTCTTCCGATTTTTTAAATTTTGGATTATGTAATTTTTGATTTTACAATTTTTCAGTTTTTCAATTTCTAAATATTTTTAATTTTCCATTTTTGAGGTCCGTCGACCGGCTCTCTACTTTTATGTTTCCTCCATCTTTCATGACCCCTAGAGTACGAAAAAATAGGTCTCCCGTTTCCGTGATAAAATAAGATTATTTTAAGTTCAACATGGTGAGTCATCAGAATCTAACAACGGACTGTCGGTCAGTAGCGTAACATGCTCACTTCAGAAAGGGGTGGTTTTTAAATTAATTTTTTTAAATCGCAAACAATAACACATGGAAACATAAATTCCTCGTTTAAATTTTTTAATAATCCAGACTAACTACGAAATAAATATACCTACTTATATAATAATGAGCAAAAAACCTGCTATTGGAATTTTATTAAACCATGATACACCTAGATACGTTTACAAGCACAAATTTATCAGTACGAGTGCATTTTTGATCATTCTCACAATCCATCGAATAACTCAGAAACAGGGACTTTTTCCAACAAATTGTTAAACATCCACTCGAATACAGAAATCCACAATTCTGGAAACGTCTCCTGAAAATAATCTAAAATGTTCTCCTACTTTTCATTCATCATGTCATTAAGTTCCTTATTCAAACATCCCTTTTTAAAAATATTTTTAAAATCGAACGTAGCGTTCTTCATTTTCATACGAAAACTACCACCCCTCGCTTTAAAATATTTCAAGTTTTCTTTCTCATATTCCTCCAAATTAAACACAATCCGGAGTGTGGGTCTTTCTGAAAATTATTTCTTTACTACGTGAGGACATCACAGAAGAAATATATACTAAGATTGATCGCCGTTGTCGTCGATACATCAATCGGCAAATAAATAAATCGGCCACGCGCTCCATAGTCGGATTCGTATAAAATATTTGTGAAAGTAATATTTACATTTAAACTCTTACGTTCCAAGCTAAATCTGCAAAAAACTATACTTTTGTGAAACATTTTCATTCTTGTTTTACCTGGCGCTCGTTTTTTCGATTTTTGTGAATCCGGTAATTTTTAAATTGGAGTATTTTTGTCGAATTCCAGTTGTTTCGTTTCCGTATTCGAGAATCACCTCTTTCGGTGTCTGAAAAGGCTCCAATTGGGGTAAACCATACTCAAGCAGTGGCTCCTTCAGGTGCTGAATTGCGTCTTGAATAGCATTCGACAAACACTGGTCAAAATCGCTAGCTCGTAGATCACATTTTTTGAACGAGGAAGCTGTAATTTTCCAACTCAAATTTACTCCCAAAGAAAAAAATCGTACGAACTTACGCAAATTTAGAGCGGTACACCATGTCACTGATAACACGAAAACGCACAGAACTCTTATTATCATGTTTGAGGTCTTGAGTTCTACTGGTGGAGGTTGTGAAGCTTGGTTTTATTTAAAATTTGTAAACAAAAAAAAAAAATGTAAACTTGTTTGCTGGAAGGTTGCTAGAGGGGAAACTGGACGGGCACATTGGCATGTAATTTAAGAAAATAAATGTCGCGATTTAGATCGGAACAAACTGATAAAGTTGGTGAGGGTTGTTTGTGTGTTAATTCGAGGAGTTCGTCGATCTGGTTCAGAAATAACGATGAGGATAATGACTGCTGTTGTGTGTGCGGTTGTAATCTCTATAATTTTCAAAATAGAGCTTGAAGTAAGTAAAAATAAAAAATAAGTAGAAAAATAGATAGAAAAGCGTTTGGAAAAACTAACGAAGTAAATATCCAAAGAATATGCCCATTTTTGGTCAAAATATGCATCACTTTGTTAAAAATATGTAGCTAAATATGCAAAACTTGGATTATGCAAATATTTAATTTGATTAAGTCTAATTCAGTTTTTCGATATTTTAAGCTTACGGTTTTTCGACTTTGCTTTTTTAATTTTTTGATATTTCAGTTTTCCAATTTTTTAATTTCTCAAATTTTTGGATATTTGTTTCAGTTTTGAGATTTTTCAATATTTCGATTTCTCGACTTTTCGATTTTTGGATTTCTCGATTTTTTTGACTTTTCTTCTCGGCTTTCCACTCCTCAATTTCTCGATCCTCTGATTTTTCCAATTTTTCGATGTCTCAGTTTTTGAATTTTTCGTTTTTTTCAATTTTTGGATTTCTCGGTTTTTCGATTTCTTACTTTTGGGCTGTCCAATTTTTCGATTTTCCAGGTTTTCGATATTTCGATTTTTTTAGTTATCCGATTTTTAACTTTTCAATTTTTCAATTTCTGGGGTTTCGATTTCTCGATTTGCGGATCTTTCAGTTTTTCGATTTTTAAATTTTAGATTTTCGAATTTTAATTTTTTGATTTTTTAATGGTTGAATTTCCCGATTTTTCAATTTTGCGATATTTTAATTGTTCAATGTTTTAAATTTTAGATTTTTCGATTTCTCCATTGTTTGATTTTTCGGTTCTTCAGCATTTCTATTTGTCAATTGTTCAAATTTTGACGTTGCTAAAGTTTCAGTTTTCCGATTTCTCAATTAATCTATTTGTGATTTTCCTATTTCTGGACTTCTCAAAATTTCAATTTTTCAGTTCTTCCATTCTTAGATTTTTCGACGTCATTTTTTTGGTTTCTCAATTTTCCAATTCTTTAATTTCTCAATTTTTGGATATTTCTTTCAGTTTTGAGATTTTTCAATATTTCGATTTTTGGACTCCTGGATATCTTAATTTCTTAATTTTTTACTTTCTGGATTTCCAATTTTTTGTTAAACTACAGATTTTCCAATTTTTCAACTGTTTTATACTTACTTCAATTTCTCAACTTTTCAACTTTTCGATGTTTTAATTTTTCAATTTTTAAAATTCTAAGATTTTCGATTTCTCGAATTTTCAGTTCTTCTTTATTTCAATGTTTCAATTTTCCGAATTTTTAAATTTTCGATTTTCCAATTTTTCTTGGTTAAAATTCGTCGATTTTTTATTTTTTATTTCTCGATTTATCGAATTCAGGTGTTTCGATGTTTTGATTGTTCAATTTCTCGATTCATGAATATTTTAATTTTTGACTTTTCTTCTCGGCTTTCGATTCCTCAATTTCTCGATCCTCTGATTTTTCGATTTCTCGATGTTTCAGTTTTTGAATTTTTCGATGTGTCGATATTTGAATTTCTCGGTTTTTCGAATTTTTACTTTTGGGTTTTTTAATTTTTCGATTTTCCAATTTTTCGATGTTTCGATTTTTTAGTAATCTGATTTTTCAACTTTTCAATTTTTTAATTTCTGGGGTTTCGATTTCTCGATATGTCGATTTTTCAGTTTTTCGATTTTTAAATTTCAGATTTTCGAATTTTTATTTTTTGATTTTTTAATGGTTTGGATTTCTCGATTTTTCAATTTTGCGAAATTTTAATTGTTCAATGTTTTAATTTTTCAATTTTTAGAATTTTATGTTTTTCGATTTCACGAGTTTCCAGTTCTTCCTTATTTCAATTTTTCAATTTTCCGAATTTTTATTTAAAATTTTTATTTTCCAATTTTACTTGTTTAAAATTAAAAAAAAATTCTAGATGCACTGGATTTATACGAGTAGGTACTACGATTTCTCAATTTTTCAACTTTTCGAAATTTTAATTTTTCAATTTTAAAATTCTAAGATTTTCGATTTCTTGAATTTTCAGTTCCTCTTTATTTAAATTTTTCAATTTTCCGAATTTTTATTTAAATTTTCGATTTTCCAATTTTTCTTTAGAATTTTTTGATTTTTCAGTTTTTTGATTTCTCGATTGATCGAAGTGTTTCGATGTTTTGATTGTTCAATCAGCAATATTTCAATTTTTGACTTTTCTTCTCGGCTTTCGACTCCTCAATCTCTCGATCCTCGGATGTTTCGATTTCTCGATGTTTCGATTTTTCGGTTATCCAATTTTTCAACTTTTCAATTTTTTAATTTTTGAGGTTTCGATTTCTCGATTTGTCGATTTTTAAATTTCAAATTTTCGAATTTTTATTTTTCGATTTTTCAATTTTGCGACATATTAATTGTTCAATGTTTTAAATTTTAGATTTTTCGATTTCTCCATTATTTGATTTTTCGGTTCTTTAGCATTTCTGTTTTTCAATTATTCAAATTTTGACGTTGCTTGTTTTGATTTTTCAATTTCTGGATTCATCAGTTTTTCAATTTTTCAATTTATAACTTTTCTTTTCGGCTTTCGATCCCTCAATTTCTCAATCTTCTGATTTTTCGATTTCTCGATGTGTCAGTTTTTGAATTTTTCGATGTTTCGATATTTGGATTTTTCGGTTTTTCGATTTTTAACTATTGGGATTTTTAATTTTTCGATTTTCAAATTTTTCAATGTTTCCATTTGTCGGTTATACGATTTTTCAATTTTTCAAATTCTGGTGTTTCGATTTTTCGATTAGTCGATTTTTCAGTTATTTATTTTTAAATTTCAGATTTTTCGAATTTTTATTTTTTGATGTTTGGATTTCTCGATTTTTCAGTGTTGACATATTTTAATAGTTCAATGTTTTAAATTTTAGATTTTTCGAGTTCTCCATTATTATTTGATTTTTCAGTTCTTCAAAATTGATTTTTTAATTTATCAAATTTTGACGTGTGCAAAATTTCCAGTTTTCCGATTTCTCAATTAACCTATTTTTGATTTTCTCATTTCTCGATTTCTCAATTCTTCAATTCTGCGATTTTTTGTTTTTTTTTACTCTGATTTTTTGGTTTTTTAATTTCTCAATTTGTGGATATTTCTTGTGGTTTTGGGATTTTTAATATTTCACTTCTTGGACTTCTGGATTTTTCGATTTTTTATATTTTGGATTTAAGTTTTTCGTTTTATAAACTCTAGATTTTGCAATTTTTCGACTGTTTTATATTTCGATTTCTCAATTTTTCAATTTCTCCATATTTTAGTTTTACAATTTTTAAAATTCTAGATTTTTCGATTTCTCGAATTTTCAGTTTTCCGATAAATGTCTCAATTTTTCAATATTTCAATTTTAAGCTTTTTCAACTTTTCCATTCTTCAAATTTTCGATTTCTCGATTTTTTTCATTTGTCGATTTCTCAATTTTCCTGTTTCAATGATACGATTTCTCAATTTTTGTCCTCTTCAATTTTACGATTTTTAAATATTTTGATTTTCCAATTTTTCAAATTTTGACATTTCTAAATTTTCAGTTTTCTAATTTCAAGAGTAATCTTTTTTTTTATTTCCCATTTCTCGACTTTCCGAAGTTTAGACTTTTCACTTCTTCAATTCTTCAATTTACCGATTTTTCAATTTTTCGATTTTTCAAGCTTACGATTTTTCTACTTTGCTTTTTTAATTTTTGGATATCTCAATTTTCCAATTTTTTAATTTCTCAATTTTTTGTATATTTCTTTCAGTTTTGGGATTTTTTAATATTTAGATTTTTCGACTTTTCGATTTTTGGATCCCTGGATTTTTTTATTTCTCGATTCTTTACTTTTTGGATTCCCAATTTTTCGTTAAACTTTAGATTTTTCAATTTTTCGACAGTTTTATACTTTGAATTCTCAATTTTTCAAGTTTTAAAATTCTGTTTTCCGATTTCTCGAGTTTTTGGTTCTAGTTTATTTCAATTTTCCAATTTTCCGAATTTTTATTATTTCGATTTACCAATTTTTCTTGTTTAAAATTTTTCGATTTTTGAATTTTTTGATATTTCGATTTATCGAATTCAGGTGCTTCGATGTTTTGATTTTTCAATTTCTGGATTCATCAATTTTTCAATTTTTCAATTACTTACTTTCAATAACTTTTCTTTTCGGGTTTCGACTCCTCAATTTCTCAATCCTCTGATTTTTCGATTTCTCGATATCTCAGTTTTTGAATTTTTCGATGTTTGGATATTTGGATTTCTCGATTTTTCAATTTTGACATATTTTAATTGTTCAATGTTTTAAATTTTAGATTTTCCGATTTCTCCATTATTAGATTTTTCGGTTTTTCAGCATTTCTATTTTTCAATTTTTCAACTTTTGACCTGTTTTCGATTTTCCCATTTCTCATCTTCTCAATTCTCAATTCTTCGATTTTTTGATTTTTGGCTCTGATGTTTTGGTTTTTCAATTCCTCAATTTTTCAGTTTTTTAATTTCTCAATTTTTGGATATTTCTTTCGGTTTTGGGATTTTTCGATTTCTCGATTTTTAATTTTTTGGATTTTCAGCTTTTCGTTTTATAAACTCTAGATTTTGCAATTTTTCGGCTGTTTTATATTTCGATTTCTCAATTTTTCAATTTTTTCATATTTTAGTTTTACAATTTTTAAAATTCTAGATTTTTCGATTTCTCGAATTTTCAGTTTTCCGATAGATGTCTCAATTTTTCAATATTTCAATTTTGAGCTTTTCCATTCAAATTTTCGATTTCTCGATTTTTTTTCTCAATGTTCCTGTTTTAATGATACGATTTCTCAATTTTTGTTCTCTTCAATTTTACGATTTTTAAATATTTCGATTTTCCAATTTTTCAAGTTTTGACATTTCTAAATTTTCAGTTTTCTGATTTCAGAAGTATTTATTTTCCATTTCTCAGTTTTCCAAAGTTTCGAATTTTCACTCTTTCAATTCTTCAATTTTCCGATTTTTCAATTTTTCGATTTATCAAGCTTACGATTTTTCTACTTTGCTTTTTTAATTTTTGGATATCTCAATTTTCCAATTTTTTAATTTCTCAATTGTTTGTATATTTCTTTCAGTTTTGGGATTTTTCAATATTTCGATTATTTCGACTTCGATTTTTGGACCCCTGAATTTTTTGATTTCTCGATTTTTTACTTTTTGTATTTCCAATTTTTCGTTAAACTTTAGATTTTTCAATTTTTCGACCGTTTTATACTTTGATTTCTCAATTTTTCAACTTTTCGATTTTTCAGGTTTTCAAGTTCTTCTTAATTTCAATTTTTCAGTTTTCCGAATTTTTATTTAAATTTTCGATTTTCCAATTTTTTGATTTCTCAATTTCTCGATTCATCAGTATTTCAATTTTTAACTTTTCTTCTCGCTTTCGACTCTCCAATTTCTCGATCCTCTGATTTTAGGATTTATCGATGTTTCAATTTTTCACTTTTTCGATGTTTTGATTGTTGGATTTCTCGGTTTTTCGATTTTTTGCTTTTGGGTTTTTCAATGTTTCGATTTTCCAATTTTTCGGTGTCTCGATTTTTCAGTTATCTGATTTTTCAATTTTTAAATTCTGGGGTTTCGATTTTTCGATTTTTTTATTTTTTAGTTTTTCAGTATTTCTATTTTTCAGTTTTTCAAATTTTGACTTTGCTTTTTTGGTTTTTCGATTTCTCAATTTTCCAATGTTTTGATTTCTCAATTTTTGGATATTTCTTTCAGTTTTGAGATTATTCAACATTTTGATTTTTCGACTTCTGGAAAATCGAAAAATTAAAAAATGGGTAAATTGGAAAATCAAAAATTTAAAAATTCCCAAAATTGAAAAATTTAAATATAGAAGAAAAATTGAAAAATTGAAAGTTTTGAAAATGGAAACTTGAAAATCCAAAAAGTAAAAAGCTGAAAAATCGAAAAATCCAGAACTCAAAAATCGAAAAATGAAGAACTGAAGAATCGAAAAATCGAAACTTTGGGAAGTCGATAAACTCGAAAATTCATAAACGTCAAAATTTGAAAAATTAAAAAATATTGAAGAACTGAAAAACCGAAAAATCTAAAATTTAAAACATTGAAAAATTAAAATAGTAAATAGCCGAAAAGTAAAAATAGTGTCAAAAGTGACAAATGATATTGTGGACAACTTAGAAATTTTTTGTGTAAAGTGTATTTCACAGCACACTGATTGCAATGACACACTTGAATGTACATAAGTTCAATGTTTACCACTGCGTAGTCGTTACCATTGCACTTTTACTTTTTATTGTAATGCCCCTGAGTCACCACTTAAGTCTACCTTTCGATATTTTCTCACAGTTTCAACGCAATGTTAATTATGTTAGCGCAAAAATAAAAATCAGGAAATAATTATAAATTATTTATTGGATCAAAAACCGCCGACCAACTCAGAAACCGGAACTTTCTCCAACAAATTATTAAAAATACGAATGTACAACGAAACCCAGAATTTTGGAAACGCCGTCAGGAGATAATCTAAAATGTTCTGCCAGTTTTCATCCATCCCGTCGTTAAATTTCTTAGTTAGAGATTCCTCTTTAAAGACATTTTTATAATCGAACGTCATTTTCTCGGCGTCTATATCAAGAGTACCATCCGTCACTCTAAAATGTCTCAAGCCAATTTTCTTATAATCTTCCAAATCAAAATGAATCCGGAACGTGGGTCTCGCTGAAAATCGCTTCATTATTAAACAAGAATTCGACAAAAGTAAAAAAAAAATTACCAATTAACATCGTAACTGTGGTGGACACGTCAATTGGGAAAAGAATAAACCTGCCGTGGGCTTCATAGTCGGATTCGAAGTGAAGCTCCGTGAAAGTAATATTTAGATCGAAAATTTTTCCTCGACTACAACTAAGTACAAAAAAAAAATACACACATGTGAATTTTTTTTATAAGTAAGTAAGTATATTTTACCTTGCGCTCGTGTTTTCGATTTTTGTGTAGCCCCCAATTTTCATGTTGGAGTATTTCTGGCGAATGCCAGTCGTCTCGTCTCCGTATTCGACAATAGCCTCTTTCGGAGCCTCAAAAGGCTCCAATTTGGGTAAACCATACTCGGGTAGAGGTTCTTTCAGCTGCTGAATTGCGTCTTTAACCGCATTCGACAAACAATCGTGGAAATCGCTGGTTCGTCGATCGCATTGTTGGAACGAGGGGGCTACAATTTCCAATTAGGTATTTAAATTCAAAGAGAATTTAGTCGAACCTATATGGTATAGATACTTACGCAATTTTAAAGCACTGGAGCACGTCACTAGCACGACTAAAGAGCACAGAAATCTCTCCATCGTGTTCGAATAGACTTCATAATCTTTAGCGTAATCGAGGTTTTTAAACATTCGATTTATTTTTATTTAAAAAAAATAAAGTGAGGTCACGAACTGGTTTGCTTCAATGTAGCTGGATAGAGATTTTACGATTTCGCTGACCTGGATTCAGAAAGGAAATGAAAAATAAGGCCGAGTGGGGTTATCAATGTTAATGAGTAAAGACCGGATTTTAAGCAAAAATATGCTCTAGGATGCAGTTTGAACACTAATGCAAGTCGAAGTTTAAAAAAAAAACATTTAAACTCAATTTAAACCAGCTTGTCGTCAATATTTTATAAAAACACCAAATTTGGATATTCGACATTTTTTTATTTTGGTGCCATTTTCCTTTTTTAAATAATTTACAAATAGTTAAATGATCTAATCCATATAAAAATGGATTATTTGATAATAGATTGTTTAAAAATGGGTTGTAAACAACGTCCTTGAGCTTAATGGTACGGGTTGGCGTCGCCAAGTGACAACGCTGGCCTGTATTTCATTTAGATTATAGCCGAAAGGAGGTGAATCTCTGAAGACGCATTTTATTTTAGAAGTTTATTGTTAGTGATACTGAGTGTCTTTGCGTGTTAGTGAGTGTGCTAGGGCCGGTTTTGATTTTTGTGCATACAGTAAAGGATCCTCAGAATGCCTAAGGTAAAATCATCCATGAAAGATAAAATCAAATTATTGTTAGGGAATAATTTGGACACTAATTCTCAATTTCCTTCTTCAACCAAAGACAATGAGTTATTCTGCAAAGTGTGTGGAAAAGTTGTAAGTAAACATTGAAAATACTGAGACTTGAATTATGTTCACATTTTTGTTTCCTAGTTTAAGTGCGAAAAAAAATCACACTTTGAACAACACTGGATTGGCGATATACATAAAAAGAACGAGAATAAATCCAGTAAACAGACTTTATTAAACATTAGTTCCGACAATGATTTTACGCAATTTTGCACTGATTTATGTACGGCATTTACCGCAGCAAATATTCCATGGAATAAAGTTAGTTGTCCTGAGTTTAACAATTTTATGCATAAATATACAGGAAGACATTTACCCTCAGAAAGCACTGTGAGAAAAAATTATTTACCAAAAGATTACGATATGGTGAGCACTAGGATTTTTATTTAAAAACTTTTTAACATAAATTTTATAGTTTACAGGTAATTAAACAAATTAGAAATTCTATTGGCAATAATGATATATTATGGATTAGCGTCGATGAGACGACGGACAGATTAGGAAGATACATAGCCCATTTAGTAATTGGAAAGTTATCTTCTGAAGAAGCTGGCCGTCAATTTCTACTAGCTTTGAAGCAGCTTGATAAAACTAATAGCAACACAATCTCGAGATTTATAAACGAATCATTGGGTGTGCTATTGATAATTTTAAGCATTGAAATTATTATAATTTATTTAATTGTTAATTTGTAGCTTTATTGTGGCCAAAAGGAACTGATCACAAAAAAGTTAAATGGTTTGTATCAAATGGTGCTTCATACATTATCAAAACTGGTACTAATTTGAAGGTGTTTTATGAAAATATAACACACTTAACATGTATGGTGCATGGGTTTCATTTAGTGTCTGAAACAATTAGAATTAATTATCCAGATGTCGATGGGATAATTAGCAATGTTAAGAAAATCTTTTTAAAAGCACCAATAAGAGTAGAGTTTTATGAAAACAGTTTACCAAATACACCTCTCCAACCTGAACCTGTATTAAAAAGGTGGGGCATTTGTATTGAAGCAGCATTATTTTATGCAGAACACTTTGATGTTTTAAAACAAGTCAGTAAATATATAATGTTTTTTTTACTATCATTCTTATATTGAATATTTTTAGGTTGTAATGTCATTTGAAGCCACAGATGCACAAAGCATTAAAAAAGCTCAAGAATTCCTGAATAAAGCAAACATTAAAAATTAACTCTTGTACATTAAAACTCACTTTAAAATAATTGCTGATGCAATAGAACAATTAGAAGCTATAGGTTTAAAATTAAACCAAAGTATGGAAATTGTGGAAAAAGTGTATACATCTTTAAAAAACATACAGGAAAAGTGGGGGAAATGGCGTTCCAAAAATTATGTTCTCTATTAAAAAAGAATCCAGGATACGATTTTATATGTTCAGTAAATAACGTAATCTGCGGTAATGGAAATGCTACGAACAATACATACATAAACGAAAACATAAATTGTTCAATATTTAATTTTGCACCCATCACTTCTTGTGATTTGGAACGCACGTTTTCAAAACTTAAAAGTGTTTTAAGCGATCAAAGGTGTAAATTTACAATCGAAAATTTAGAGAAATATATAGTTTGCTTTTGTAACTCAGTTTAAATACCTGAATTAATATTTTATTTTTTGTTAAATGCGACTTGCTTTAATTTGATCGCCATTTTTTTGCGATAACTTAGAATTAGGGGACGTGACTATAGATCGTTTATTTATTTAATAATTTTTTTGTATGTTACACAAAATATTTGTTTGTATAATGTTTTTTTTAATGTTTTATTTTTAAATATATATTTTTTTGATGTATGCTTTTTCGTTGAGCTAATATTTTTTCCTCCAGGTTTTTAACCTAAACTAAGATTTTTATACCCTAATTCGTCAATTTTGGGACCTAAAAATGTCTCCTTTTATTCATTTTTTAACGATCTAAAATCCGAAGCTTAATTATTATTAAAAAAATATATTTTTTCTTGGATCGATTGAAATTAACTTCCACTTGACTTAGTGTTCAAATTGCATCTTAGTAACGTGAATTAGATTGGTTATATTTACCAATGAACTGTTGCACCATTTTAAAACGTTTGTAAGATTCCAAAGCAGTCGGTTTTTCAACTTCAAAGTTAAATCGTAAAATACTATACAGTTTTAATTTTTTTTTCCAAAAATCTTAGCATATTAAAAAGATAAGACTGATTTTGGTACTTTTGACATTTTCGACCATTTTTCAATCAGAAGTGATTTTCGGCTTTGTTTCTTCGAAAATTCCCACCGTTTTTGCAAAATCGCCAACTACAGCTATTTTTAAAGTTCCGTCAAAATGGCAAGGTATAAATTTTTTCTATGACATAGCCTCTAAGAAAATAGAGGACGGGTGGGCGGGGTTAATTTTTGATAAGATAAGAGTGATTTTAGCACTTTTGATATTTTCGACCATTTTTCAACTATATATTTCCCAAAATTAGTTGAAGACATTTTCTTGTATGTCCAGAAGTTATTTTCGGCTTGTGTTAATTAGTTTCCACTCCCACTCGACAGAAGAACATAATTAGCCCCGCCCACCCACCCTGTCTCCTTTTTGGTGATTGATTTTATCCATTCTGAATGAAATTAATGATCTTATACTGAACAGAAATTAAATTAGTCCTCAGAATGAGAAGAGGGTGGGTGGGTGGGGCTAGTACTTCCTAAGATAAGACTGATTTTGGCAAATGAAATACCCTCTAAGAAAAGAAAGAACGGGAGGGCGGGGTTAATTTTTGATAAGATAAGAGTGATTTTGGCACTTTTGATATTTTCGACCATTTTTATCTATGTATTTCCGAAAATTAGTTGAAGATATTTTCTTCTAGATTTCTATGTCCAGAAGTCATTTTCGGCTTGTGTTAATTAGTTTCCACTCCCACTCGACAGAAGAATATAATTAGCCCCGCCCACCCACCCTGTCTCTTTTTTAGTGATTGATTTTATCCGATCCGAATGAAATTAATGATTTTACACTGAACGGAAATAAAATTATTCGTTAGAATGAGAAGCGGGTGGGTGGGCGGGGCTAGTACTTGCTAAGATAAGACTGATTTTGGCAAATGACATACCCTCTAAGAAAATAGAGGGTGGGTGGGCGGGGCTAGTATTTGATAAGGTAAGACTGATTTTGGCACTTTTGACATTTTAGACCATTTTTCAACTATGTATTTCCGAAAATTAGTTGAAGATATTTTCTTCTAGATTTCTATGTCCAGAAGTCATTTTCGGCTTGTGTTAATTAGTTACCACTCCTACTCGACAGAAGAACATAATTAGCCCCGCCCACCCACCCTGTCTCTTTTTTAGTGATTGACTTTAACCGATCTGAATGAAATTAATGATCTTTTACTGGACAGAAGTAAAATTAGTCGTTAGAATGAGAAGGGGGTGGGTGGAGGGGCTAGTACTTGCTAAGATAAAATTGATTTTGGCAAATGACATACCCTCTAAGAAAAGAAAGGGTGGGTGCGCGGGGCTAGTGTTTGATAAGATAAGACTGATTTTGGCACTTTTGAAATTTTCGACCATTTTTCAACTATACCTATATTTCCGAAATTTAGTTGAAGAAATTTTCTTGTAGATTTCTATGTCCAGAAGTCATTTTTGGCTTCTATTAATTAGTTTCCACACCCACTCGACAGAAGAACATAATTAGCCCCGCCCACCCACCCTGTCTCCTTTTTAGTGATTGTTTTTATCCGATCTGAATGAAATTAATGATCTTATACTGAACGGAAACAAAATTAGTTGGTAGAATGAGAAGGGGGTGGGTGGGCGGTTCTAGTACTTGCTAAGATAAGACTGATTTTGGCAAATAAAATACCCTCTAAGAAAAGAAAGGGTAGGTGGGAGGGGCTAGTATTTGATAAGGTAAGAGTGATTTTGACATTTTCGACCATTTTTCAACTATTTTCGAAGAATGGTTGAAAACATTTTCTTGAAGATTTCGATGTCCACAAGACATTTTCGGTTTCTGTTATTAGTTTCCATTCCCACTCGACAGAAGAATATAATTAGCCCCGCCCACCCACCCTGTCTCCTTTTTAGTGATTGATTTTATCCGATCTGAATGAAATTAATGATCTTTTGCTGGACAGAAGCAAAATTAGTCGTAAGAATGAGAAGAGGTTGAATGCGCGGGGTTAGTATTTGATATGGGAAGACTGATTTTGGCACTTTTGACATTTTAGACCATTTTTCAAATATATTTCCGAAAATTAGTTGAAGACATTTTCTTCCGCTAGTGATTGATAAGGTAAGACCGATTTTGGCACTTTTGACATTTTTGACCATTTTTTCAACCATACGTATATTTCCGAAAATTAGTTGAAGACATTTTCTTCTAGATTTCTATGCCCAGAAGTCATTTTCGGCTTCTATTAATTAGTTTCCACTCCCACTCGACAGAAGAACATAATTAGCCCCGCCCACCCACCCTGTCTCCTTTTTAGTGATTGATTTTATCCGAGCTGAATGAAATAAATGATCTTTCACTGAACGGAAATAAAATTAGGCGTTAGAATGAAAAGAGGGTGGGTGGGCGGAGCTAGTACTTGCTAAGATGACACTGATTTTGGCAAATGAAATACCCTCAAAAAAAAGAAAGGGTGGGTGGGAGGGGTTAGTATTTGATAAGATAAAACTGAGTTTGGCACTTTTGACATTTTCGACTATTTTTCAACTATACCTATATTTCCGAAATTTAGTTGAAGACATTTTCTTGTAGATTTCTATGTCCAGAAGTCATTTTCGGCTCCTATTAATTAGTTTCCTTTCCCACTCGACAGAAGAACTTAATTAGCCCCGCCCACCCACCCTGTCTCCTTTTTAGTGATTGATTTTATCCGAGCTGAATGAAATTTATGATCTTTCCCTGAACTGAAATAAAATTAGTCGTTAGAATGAGGAGAGGGTGGGTGGGCGGAGCTAGTACTTGCTAAGATGAGACTGATTTTGGCAAATAAAATACCCTCAAAAAAAGAAAGGGTGAGTGGGAGGGGTTAGTATTTGACAAGATAAAACTGAGTTTGGCACTTTTGACATTTTCGACCATTTTTCAACAATACCTATATTTCCGAAATTTAGTTGATGACATTTTTTTGTAGATTTCTATGCCCAGAAGTCATTTTCGGCTTCTGTTAATTAGTTTCCACTCCCACTCAACAGAAGATCATAATTAGCCACGCCCACCCAACCCACCCTGTCTCCTTTTCAGTGATTGATTTTATTCGATCTGAATGAAATTAATGATCTTACACTGAACGGAAATAAAATTAGTCCTTAGAATGAGAAAAGGGTGGGTGGGCGGGGCTAGTACTTGCTAAGATAATACTGATTTTGGCAAATGACATACCCTCTAAGAAAAGAAAGGGTGGGTGGGAGGGGCTAGTATTTGATAAGGTAAGAGTGATTTTGGCACTTTTGACATTTTCGACCATTTTTCAACTATATTCGAAGAATGGTTGAAAACAGTTTCTTGTAGATTTCGATGCCCAGAAGACATTTTCGGTTACTGTTATTAGTTTCCATTCCCACTCGACAGAAGAATATAATTAGCCCCGCCCACCCACCATGTCTCCTTTTTAGTGATTGATTTTATCCGATCTGAATGAAATTAATGATCTTTTACTGGACAGAAGTAAAATTAGTCGTAAGAATGAGAAGAGGGTGTGTGGGCGGGGCTAGTACTTGCTAAGATAAGACTGATTTTGGCAAATGATATAAGTACCCACTAAGAAAATAGAGGGTGTGTGGGCGGAGCTAGTATTTAATAAGGTAAGACTGATTTTGGCACTTTTGACATTTTAGACCATTTTTCAACCGGTTTTGACACTCTTATACATTACGAATACGCTCAGTGGTTTCCACAACTGCCCCTTCTCACTTTATTTCCGATTGTTGACTTACGGTGTTTGTTGATTGTTTATCAGCTTTCAATTCTTCGATTTCTTTCCTAAGTTTTTTATTTTCTGCGAGATGGAATAAAGTTTTTCAATGTACAAAAGTATGTTACATGTAAATAAATAAATAAATAAATAGTTTATTGATCATCCAACGGGCAAATCGCCCACATAGGACATAATGTTACTAATAGTAAACTTAACCCAAATTTTTTTTAATATAATGCTAATTTAACGCCAGCAATAAATTCATTTTGACACTCTACAAATATATCGCATAGGTGTTGTATGCTATTGTATATTCTGGATATATTGTTAACTGGTGAATAATAATGTTGATTAGTGCGAGCCATATCACACAGGAAAGTTCTGGGATTCCTCGATCCTGAACGAGGAACATAAAAACAAATTTGTTCGAGCAAGACATTGTCATTAATTATATTATGTAGGAGTTTATGCAGAAAAATAACAGAGGAAAATTCACACCTACTTTGGAGATGAACAAGATTGAACTCATTTAACAGCTCATGCTGCGAAAATCCTTGGATAGGGTGAACACCGTATTTTTTGTAGAAAGCATACTTACAGAATTTCCTCTGCAATTTTTCCAAGACCTGTATTATATGTGTAATATAAAAAGGATTCCAGATTATTGAACAATATTCTAAAACAGACCTAACATACGCACAATAAAGCATTACAATACAGTCAACATTGGTAAAATCCTTTGTGTTACGTATTATAAAACCTAGTATTCTCATCGCCTTTTCACTAATATGTGTAATATGTGGTGTGAATGATAAAGACTTATCCATCACAACTCCCAGGTCTTTAAACTCAGTACACCTAATAAGTGACTGATCATTTATCTTGTAATTGAATAAAATAGTATTAACTTTACGACTATATGACATAATTCTACATTTATTAACATTCACTTCTAATTTATTCTCAAGACACCACTTAAAAAACTTATTCACAATACTCTGCAATACAAAGCAATCGTACTCATCACTTATGACCTTTAAAATTTTGACATCGTCAGCATACATATAGACATCACATTGATTATTTATCACAGAAATTACATTGTTAACAAAAATTGTAAACAACAACGGTCTTATATTTGAGCCCTGGCAGACACCTGTGTTACATTCATAACTATAAGATTTACAGTTCTGATATTGCACATACTGTAGTTTTTGACCTACAAGTATCGACTTGAATAGTTGGACTACTTCTTCACATAGACCCATGGCAGTAAGTTTGTTGAGTAGTAAAATATGATTCACTTTGTCAAACGCCTTAGACAAATCTGTATACAAAACATCAACTTGTTGCTTTAAATCTAAAGAGTTGGATAATTTTTGTGTAAAGTTACACAGATTAGTTGCGGTCAATCTACCTGATATAAAACCATGCTGCTGAGTTGCAATTAATTGTTTTACATGACTGTATACATACTTAACTAAAATGCTTTGAAAAATCTTAGCAAAATTTGGTATAATTGCAATGGGTCTACAGTTAATCACATTATCTTTAGCATCAGATTTAAATACTGGAGTAACTCTCGCAATCTTCCAACATTCTGGGAACGTGGAGGCGGAAATTATGGCGTTATAAAGATGACAAAGTGGTGTTAATAGAAAGCCTATACAATCTCGGACGAGAAATGCAGGAATTTCATCATCTCCACTGGTTAGATTCGGCTTCAATTTTTTAGCAGCTTGTAGAATATCACAGTCGGTTATATTAAAACGATGTAGAATATTTACGTAACAACACGGAAAAAGATCACAGCATTTATCACAGTTATCGTCGCAGGCTTTATCACAGGATTTATTATCACCGAAAGGTTGAGTGACAACATGGTCGACATCATTTGTAGAATTATTTGATGGAATAAATGACCACTAAAATGCTCAGCAAAAGCATTCACGATGTCACGGGACGTTGACAGTGTAGATAATAAGCGAAAAATGTTCTTGGTTAAAACTAAAGAAAACACTATTATTATTTGAAATAAAAATAAATAATATCAAGAACTTATGCTGTGTATTAAAAACATTCATTGTGAATAAGTAAATTATGTAAGTAAACCATAAAACCACAAATAATCACTATATCTGTGCAATAAAATTTGTTCTTTGACGAAATTCCTCCGACTCTTTCATCCAAAACTGGGGTTGGATTATCTTTATAGTTCCGGAAATATTAAATATGACGTGTGGAGAAAATTCAGATTTTAGGACAAAATAGGCATCAAAAAAGTAGAAAAAGCCGTGTTTATTGCGAAAAAAACGTTAACATTAAACATTTTCAAAAATTTCAGAAATAGGCACCTTTTCTAAGAAGTTGCTGAAAGGCTGCATAAACCACACGGAATACAGTGCCTGGTACTGTAACCCTATCTGACGAAAAATTTCCTTTCCATAGATGGTCATTTCCTTGTTCATCACGTCTGTCAAATGCTGATTCTTGGTTAAGTTCTTATAGTAGAAGGACGCATCATTTGCTGTAATAGCCGCTTGAGTTTTAACAACTCGATAATACAATTGTCCATCTTTTTGGTACTTCTCCATATTGAAAATAAATTTAAACGTGGGTTTTTCTAAAATTGGCTCTATTTTCTAAACGACCTCGGTTTTATAAGTCATACGTACCAAGAGTGACAGTGTTCGTGGAATTGGTACTAATAGGTAAGAAAATAAGCTTCCCTTCGGCTTCGAAATTCGTTTCGGTAATTATCTGATCGTAATTAAGTTCTAATGAAAGAATGTCACTGGTGAAGTCCATACTGTAAAGAGAACACATTAATCAAACCGGTTCCACATTTTGGATAACCAGTTTAAAAAAACTGTCAAGGCGCCACTTCAGTGGTTTCATTATGCAAACCTTGCTTTGGCATCTCGGATGTTAGTAAGTCCCTTTAGCACAAAATTGGTGTACTTTTGGTGAACACCAGTCTGGGCGTCACCAAATTCCACAATCCCTAGCTCGTAAGGAACGGCAAAAGGGTCCATTACAGGCAAACCATACTTGGGCATGGGTTTATCCAGCTGTCTGACAGCGTCACGAATCGCCTCAGTCAAACACTGGTTAAAATTCGCCCGTTTTACGTTGCATTTTTTGAAACTTGAAGCTAAAATTTTTATTTTTTACTGATTGTAGTTGAAAATTTAGTTACAAACTTACGTAAAGATAAAGCACTACAAACACTTATGGTCACTAGAATACACAAAACCGTCGCTAGTTTGGTCTTCATCTTGGACTGTCAAGATCAGGCGCTAAAATCGGGCCACGATTTGCGTCATTTTCGCTTTTATACCAAAGGTGGATTAAGAAAAAATGTAGATCAAATCCGTGTCGAAACTGGACAGACAAGGTCATAAGAAAAAGGTGATGATGGAAATGCGCAAGGAATATTAAATACGGACTTTTGGAAGCTTTAGCTAATTTATTTGACTTGCAGATCGCTTCTAATGGGCGAATTGATACAACAATCGGGAGGTCGGTGGCATGTAAACATTAGTGTTGATTGAAAATTAAAACAATCCAGTTTTTGTCAAACCTTGAAATTCGTGTTTATTATTTTTCAAATGACTTTTGTGCTACCTTTCAAAAATTTCATAACGAGGGGTAAAAGAAGATAAAAGAGAAATTGCAGTTCACCCAACAAGGTTAGCCACTGTCATTAAAATTCATCATTCATTATGGTAATACTTTCTGTTTAAAAAAAAAATTATACAAAAGTTGCATAGGCTACATTAAAAACTAACAAGATTTAAATTCATTAACATAATTATTGACGCGCCGGAATAATTGTTTTCAAATAATTTGAATACATTTTGTTTCAAAACACCATCTTTACCCAAAAAAATGGGTTTTACTCTTATTTTTTATTAAATACCTATATACAGTAAATGCTGCTAGATATCGAAATGAAGTTTTCGAGCCCTTTGTCAACCAGTTACACGATGATGAATTGCAAAACGGATTTCTTAAACAAGATGGAGCTCTCCGATTCATTGTACAATGGACAACTTAAATTTCTTACGAAACTTCTGTGATTTGACAACTTGTGATTTTTTCATGTGACCTCATTTTAAAACGCAATTTCCATACTCCGGTTGCAGATCTGCAGGACTTACAACAAAGAATTGAACAAAAATATTACCTCGCTTTCTAGGCAAAAAATGTAAAAGAATTTTGGGGTCTTTGCTATTTTCATAAAAAATATGTGTGCTTTTCTAAGAATTTAAAAGAATCTGTAACGCTTGGTGTTTGTTTTTGAAAAAACTAGAACCTCTCGACAGAAGAACGTAATTAGCCCCGCCCACCCACCCTGTCTCCTTTTCAGTGACTGATTTTATCTGATCTAAATAAAATGAATGAGCTTATACTGAACAAAAATAAAATTACTAAGATAAAAATGATTTTGGTAAATGACATATCTTCCAAGAAAATAGGCGGCCGGTGGCTAATACTGCCCACCCTGTCTCCTTTTCAGTGATTGATTTTATGCAAACTGGTAAAATGAATAATCTTATACCTACTGAACAGAAACAAAATTAGTAGTTAGAATGTGAAGAAGATGGTTGGTCCGTGCTAGTATTTGCTAAGATAAGACTGATTTTGGCAAATGACATACCTTCCAAGAAAATTGAGGGCGGGTGGGCGGGGCTAGTATTTGCTAAGATAAGAATGATTTCTTCAAATCACAGAACTTCCAGTAAAATAGAGGGCGGGTGGGCGGGGCTAGTACGTGCTACGATAAAAATGATTTTGACAAATGACATATTTACCAAGAAAATAGAGGGCCGGTGGGCGGGGCTAGTACTTGCTAAGATAAGACCGATTTTTACAAAAAAAGTTAGGATTTGCTTTTTTTTTCACATCCTAGATTTTATTACTAGTTTCCATTCCCACTAGACAGAAGAACATAATTAGCTCCACCCGCCCACCCTGTCTCCTTTTCAGTGATTGATTTTATTCAAACTGAATAAAATGCATAATCATATACTGAACAGAAACAAAATTAGTAGTTAGAATGTGAAGAAGATGGGTGGTCGATGCTAGTACTTGCTAACTTAAGGCTCAATTTTGGCAAATGACATACCTTCCAAGAAAATAGAGGGCGGGTGGACGGGGTTAGTATTAGCTAAGATAAAAATGATTTTGGTAAATGACATCTTCCAAGAAAATAGGCGGCCGGTGAGCGGGGCTAATACTTGCTAAGATAAAGCCGATTTTAACAAAAAAAATTAGGATTTGCATTTTTTTTTCGCATTCTAGATTTTATTACTAGTTTCCACTCCCACTAGACAGAAGAAAATAATTAGCCCCGCCCGCCCACCCTGTCTCTTTTTCAGTGATTGATTTTATTCAAACTGAATAAAATGAATAATCTTATAAACTGAACAGAAACAAAATTAGTAGTTAGAATGTCAAGAAATTGTGTGGTCGGTGCTAGTATTTGCTAAGATAAGACTGATTTTGGCAAATAACATAACTTCCAAGAAAATAGAGGGGGGGTGGGCGGGGCTAGTATTTGCTAAGATAAGAATGATTTTTGCAAATCACATACCTTCCAGTAAAATAGAGGGCGGGTGGGCGGGGCTAGTACTTGCTAAGATAAAACTGATTTTGACAAATGACATATTTACCAAGAAAATAGAGGGCCGGCGGGCGGGGCTAGTACTTGCTAAGATAAGACCGATTAACAAAAAAGGTTACGATTCGCGCATTTTTTTTTCACATCCTAGATTTAATTCCTAGTTTCCATTCCTACTCGACACAGGAACATAATTAGCCCCGCCCGCCCACCCTGTCTCCTTTTCAGTGATTGATTTTATTCAAACTGAATAAAATGAATAATCTTATACTGAACAGAAACAAAATTAGTAGTTAGAATGTGAAAAAGGTGGGTGGTCCGTGCTAGTATTTGCTAAGATAAAACTGATTTTGGCAAATGACATACCTTCCAAGAAAATAGAGGGCGGGTGGGCGGGGCTAGTATTTGCTAAGGTAAGAATGATTTTTGCAAATCACATACCTTCCAGTAAAATAGAGGGCGGGTGGGCGGGGCTAGTACGTGCTTCGATAAAAATGATTTTGACAAATGACATATTTACCAAGAAAATAGAGGGCCGGTGGGCGGGGCTAATACTTGCTAAGATAAGACCGATTTTTACAAAAAAAATAGGATTTTCTTTTTTTCTCACATCCTAGATTTTATTACTAGTTTCCATTCCCACTAGACAGAAGAACATAATTAGCCCCGCCCGCCCACCCTGTCTCCTTTTCAGTGATTGATTTTATGCAAACTGGTAAAATGAATAATCTTATACCTACTGAACAGAAACAAAATTAGTAGTTAGAATGTGAAGAAGATGGTTGGTCCGTGCTAGTACTTGCTAAGTTAAGACTGATCTTGGCAAATGACGTACCTTCCAAGAAAATAGAGGGCGGGTGTGCGGGGCTAGTATTTGCTAAGATAAAAATGATTTTTGCAAATCACATACCTTCCAGTAAAATAGAGGGCGGGTGGGCGGGGCTAGTACTTGCTAAGATAAAACTGATTTTGACAAATGACATATTTACCAAGAAAATAGAGGGCCGGCGGGCGGGGCTAGTACTTGCTAAGATAAGACCGATTAACAAAAAAGGTTACGATTCGTGCATTTTTTTTTTCACATCCTAGATTTAATTCCTAGTTTCCATTCCTACTCGACACAGGAACATAATTAGCCCCGCCCGCCCACCCTGTCTCCTTTTCAGTGATTGATTTTATTCAAACTGAATAAAATGAATAATCTTATACTGAACAGAAACAAAATTAGTAGTTAGAATGTGAAAAAGGTGGGTGGTCCGTGCTAGTATTTGCTAAGATAAAACTGATTTTGGCAAATGACATACCTTCCAAGAAAATAGAGGGCGGGTGGGCGGGGCTAGTATTTGCTAAGGTAAGAATGATTTTTGCAAATCACATACCTTCCAGTAAAATAGAGGGCGGGTGGGCGGGGCTAGTACGTGCTTCGATAAAAATGATTTTGACAAATGACATATTTACCAAGAAAATAGAGGGCCGGTGGGCGGGGCTAATACTTGCTAAGATAAGACCGATTTTTACAAAAAAAAATAGGATTTTTTTTTTCTCACATCCTAGATTTTATTACTAGTTTCCATTCCCACTAGACAGAACAACATAATTAGCCCCGCCCGCCCACCCTGTCTCCTTTTCAGTGATTGATTTTATGCAAACTGGTAAAATGAATAATTTTATACTGAACAGAAACAAAATTAGTAGTTAGAATGTGAAGAAAGTGGGTGGTCGGTGCTAGTACTTGCTAAGTTAAGACTGATCTTGGCAAATGACGTACCTTCCAAGAAAATAGAGGGCGGGTGTGCGGGGCTAGTATTTGCTAAGATAAAAATGATTTTTGCAAATCACATACCTTCCAGTAAAATAGAGGGCGGGTGGGCGGGGCTAGTACTTGCTTAGATAAAAATGATTTTGACAAATGACATATCCTCCAAGAAAGTAGAGGACCGATGAGCGGGGCTAGTACTTGCAAAGATAAGACCGATTTTTACAAAAAAAAATAGGATTTGCTTTTTTTCTCACATCCTAGATTTTATTACTAGTTTCCATTCCCACTAGACAGAAGAACAGCCCGCCCACCTTGTCTCCTTTTCAGTGATTGATTTTATTCAAATTCAATAAAATTAGTAATTTTATACTGTACAGAAATAAAATTAGTAGTTAAAATGTGAAGAAAGTGGGTGGTATGTGCTAGTATTTGCCAAGATAAGACTGATTTTGGCAAATGACATATCTTCTAAGAAAATAGAGGGCGGGTGGGCGGGGCTACTATTTGCTAAGATAAAAATGATTTTTGCAAATGACATACCTTCCAATGAAATACAGGGCAGGTGGGCGGGGCTAGTACTTGCTAAGATAAGACCGATTTTAACGAAAAAAGTTACGATTGGCGCTTTTTTTCACATTCTAGATTTTATTATTAGTTTGCATTCCCACTCGACAGAAAAACATAATTGGCCCCGCCAGTACTTAGTAAGATAAGACTGATTTTGACAAATGACATATCCTCTAAGAAAAGAGAGGGTGGGTGGGTGGGGCTGGCTAGTACTTGGGAAGATAAGACTGATTTTGGCAAATGACATACCCTCCAAGAAAGTAAAGTTTGGGTGGGCACGGGTAGTACTTCCTAAGATAAGGCTTATTTCGGCAAATGACATCCTCTGAGAAAATAGGGGGCGGGTGGGCGGTCCTAGTAGTGATAAGATAAAACTGATTTGGCCCCTATTAATCTTATGAAAACTTGTGAAATTTAAAGGTGTTAAATTGCAAATTTCCATTGTAACGAGTTAAATTCCTAAATTTACCCGAAATGTGCAAAACGTGATGAGTTAGAGAGCGGATTTTATGAAATTTGCATATCCGTTATTTTTTGCATATAAGTCTTGATATTTAATATGTGTACGAATCATGCTAATTAAAAATGAATACAGCTATAAAAAAATTGCATATTTGCATATATTTGCCTTGTGCTGCATATTTCACGTAACGGGTGCATATTTTGCATTTTTATCAATTTTTGTGCTAGTTTGAAAAAAAAAAAATGATTCCCATTCTATCAGTATTTATCTAGAAAGACGAAATTTCATGAATCATATTGCAAATATTGTCCTGAGCTTCAAATAACTAGAAAAGGTTTGGGTTTTATGGTAGTTTGGAGAAACCACTGGGTGTTAAGCCATCCTTTCAGGTAAATTCGCGAAATACGTTCATTCCTAATATTTTTGTTCGTTACTTCAGTGTACTAATGGTATGTTTTGTGGTGGTCGAAGTATGGTATTATTTTTCATCGTGAGTTTTCATTGAATGCATTTAAAGCGATACAGGTGTGTCAATATGTCGAAGATAACTCAAATTAATTTTGTGGATTAAACCTTTCCCTGAACTTATTCTTCAAGAAGAAACTGTGTTTTGTCGCGCCTGCTCTGAACTGGTAAATTTTTACGTCTGTGGACGTAGTACGCAGTTTTTCTATTTTCAAATACATACTTTAGAATCACCGGAAAATCTTTTTGTTAGAATAGGTATTTAGAAAAATTTTCAAAAATAAATTGTTACCAAAATAGTAATTAAATAGTCGATTACTACTATTTTTTAATTTGTTCTGTTTCTATTAATTTTTTAGTATAAGAATATTATCATTAAAAATGAAAAATGTGATTTATGTGTTAGTGACATGTAATTAAACACTTTAGAATGTGATTTATGTATTTTTTGTAATAAAACGGAAGCTCGGAAAACCTGTTTTTGTAATTTGTAAATAAATTTAGTTTGGTTATTAAGCCTTTTTATTTTAATTTTTGGAGCATATGCAAATGCATATCTCTGCATATATTTAGAAAGTTACTGCATATTTGTATAAATCTGGTGCATATCATATGATCATATTTCCCAAAATTTTGCTGCATATTTTCCGCTCTCTAGTGATGAGTTTTTGCTTGTGATTTATCACTGCATTCATATTTTTTGGATTTGCATATACAGGGTGGCTCAAAAAAATTAATGAATGAGTCAATTTATTCTATTGATTAAATCAGTCATTTTCCCCGAAAATTTTGGGAGTAACATACATATTTTTAATATTACAATGCACCAATACAAGGCATCCTCCCAAAAGTGTTGAAGACGTCCATAACAACATTCTGTAAAGTAAAAAGTCAACTCAAAAATTTTGGATATGTTTCACTGTGCTTTAGGTGCGAGAGAAACAGTTTTCGACCAATTTTTTTAAAAATGTGAAACCTTCTCGGGAGTCCCATGTGTCTTTTTTTTAATGTGAAACCTTCTCGGGGGTTTCAATTGTTTTTTTTTTCTAACACTGTGACATGGAAATCAGAACACCCAGTAATAGTAAACATAATTCAATCATTTTAGATATAGGTGGTTATTACGGCAATAGAAGTAAATGATTAAAATTTGAAGTGATTCAAAAACATAACGTGTCTATTAATGGTACCGAACCAAAATTTTCGAAAAATTCAGCTTGGAATAAAATTTTTCAAATACACATCTTGAAAATTGTCATTTTTCATTTTATCAGTTCTGGAAAAATTATTGGAATTTTTGAAGATCTGAAGCCCAAAGTGTAATTTACAAGAAAATGTCTGACTAATTTCCAATTCATGCTCGAAAAACGCTGAAAAAATGTGTACGACAGAATATGTTAATGCCTCGAAAATTGGCATTTCATTTCTGGTAAAATTGTTGGATTGTCGAAGAAATGGAACCGAAAATAACTGCTGTTTTTTAATTATTTTTTCGCAACCACCCTTTTTTTTTTCTTAGAGGGTGTGTCATTTGGCAAAATCAGTCTTATCTTAGCAAATAGTTGCCTTTTGGTTTTAATATGTGTAGACTTCTTTTCAGAACGTGAAACTTAAAACATGTTTAAAATGGAAAATTTATATAAGGAAATATCGATTTTGCAATTAACCTCCGCCCTATAGTTGGAAAATCCATATTTCCTTGCAAAAATGTATCATTTTAACCATGTTTTAAGTTTCTTAAGCCCCGTTCACCCGCCTTGTCTCAAATTTTATTACAGCTCTAAAAATGAAAGTGGAAATGCAGGTTAATTTATCAGTAGATGTCATACATAAAAATTTAAAACAATCTTGAGGTTCTAGGCATTCCTGTTTGGAAAGAATTTGAAAGTGGTTTGGATCCTTTAGTGTCTTTTCTTATAATAATTTAATTAAATTTCTTCGAGGATACGTCATTTGCCAAAATCAATCTTAGAAGTAATAGCCCGCCCACCCACCCTCTCTTTTCTTAGAAGGTATGTCATTTGCCAAAATCAGTTTTATCTTAACAGGGACTAGCCCCGCCCACCCACCCTCTCTTTCCTTAGAAGGCATGTGATTTGCCAAAATCAGTTTTATCTTATCAAGTACTAGTTAGAATGCGAAGAAGGTGGGTGGTCATTGCTAGTACTTGCTAAGATAAGACTGATTTTGGCAAATGACATACATTCCAAGAAAATAGAGGGTGGGTGGGCGGGGCTAGTATTTGTTAAGATAAGAATGATTTTTGCAAATCACATATCTTCAAGTAAAACAGAGGGAGGGTGGGCGGGGCTAGTACTTGCTAAGATAAAACTGATTTTGGCAAATAAGATATGACTTAAATGACCTAAATATCCTAAGAAATTTAATTAACTTATTATAAGAAAAGGCACTAGAGGTTCCGAAACACTTTCAGATTCTTTTCAAACAGAAATACTTAGAACCTCAAGATTGTTTTCAATTTTTCAAAAAAAAAAAATACAATTTTTAAAAATTAAAGACTGATTTTCTTGAGTACTTAGATAACATAAAAAAAACACCAAATATTTTATGGTTGCTTGCAAATTGCAAAGAATATACGTCAAACAGATAAGTTAAGGCGACAATGAAAACATCGTAACTGGGTCAGAACACAACCACTTTATTTATTATCTTATCGCAATGCAGATGCACTTGATTTTTCTATTATTAGATATGCATTTATCGCATTAATTATTAATATTTAGACAATAATCTAAGATTATACATAACCCATTTAAGGACTAAGTTAATACTTTAATCGCCAACAACCTTACTGTTGAGAAAATAATAAATTATTTCTTAAAAAAGTCACTAATCACAAGGTGATACAATAATATAAAAACGGCAGCTAAAAGAACAACGACAATTTCAAACTACTCATCTTAAACATGAAAACTACAATTGTGTCTGTCTGTGTTTTGACAATATTGAGTTTCAGTTACTGTGCACAACTGCGTAAATATATCATTTTTGTAATAATTTTTCGTCTAAATTTTTAATTTTTAAGCACCCAGTTTCGAAAAATGCAACATCAAGCATTTGGATTTTGAAAAATGTTTGAGTGACGCCATCCACGATGCCATCAAACAATTGAAAGACCCAATTCCTGGACTGGGTTTACCCAGCATAGAGCCATTTAAACTGGAAACTACAAAATTGAAGATAGGAAATTCTACTGACAGTTTGCAACAGATCTGGAAGAATATAACAGTTGAGGGTTTGAGTAAACCCGCAGCTACAAATGCAAGGTAATTGTTTATAATTTGATAATATTATTATAGTTTTTTTTATTTCTGCACTAGGTGGACTAATGGGTCTGTTATCACCCTAGACCTTGAAGTAAGCTACGACCAAAAACTACTTTTCACCACTGACTATCAAGCCCACGGCGCAGTTCTACTTCTCCCGGTCCACGTGTTTTGCTCATATAGTTGCGAATTTGTGACAGGCGGAACGATTAAAATAACATACAAGATTGAACAACCCGAAAAAAGCAACCAATATTTCAAACTAATTAGTACTAAGGTCCTACTTGTGCCCAAGAAAGTGAAATTTACTTATCACGATTTCTTTGAAAGTCGGCGTTTGACAGATGTAATGAACTCAGAGATCAACAGAAATTGGGAAGCAAGCTGGAATTTTATTGCTCATTTTTTGGGTATTTACGACGCATGTTTTGATGGTTTGCTCAGAAACGTTCTGGAAAAAGTTCCGGCTGATCAAATTTTCGATGGTCTGGATTAGAAGGGTGTCTCTGTTGCTACCAACTACAGTATTTTTACTATGTAAATATGAAAAATGAATTAATTGTCTTAATATTAAAGAGTTTAAATAATTTATTTGTATTTTTCGAAAAGAGTTTCGCCTCAATTAACACGGTTCCAACTCGGAAAACGATCATATATTGATTCCGACCGTGAAAGCCTCCGAAATTATTTACATTTGTAGGTATTTTTTTTATTGAAATTAAACTGAATTAACGTGATCGCAATCCTACATTTTATAGTGTTTGCAAGAACGTACGTCAGACAGATAAGTCAAAAGCTACATTCAAAACATCATAACTGAGTCAGATTACAAACATTTTAATTACAAATTATAATAAAAAACTTATCTTATCGCAATGCACATGCACCGGAATTACTTAAAATTTCCGTTAGGCGTTTATCGCATTAATTATTATTTCAGTGAATAACCTAAAACAATATATAACACAAACATCTTTTAAACCCGTTCGTCTCGACTATGTTAATACTTTAATCGCCAAACCACCTTACACTCAAGAAAATAACAAATTTCTCCCTGAAAAGAGTCACTGACGACCGAGAAAAAACAATATAAAAACGCGATATCGTAGAACAGAGGTAGTTGCAAACCACTCTTCCTAAACATGAAAATCACAATCCTATTTGTCTGTGTTTTGACAATTTTGACTTTCTCTTACTGTACCGAACTACGTAAATTTATAATTTTTATAATTATTTTTTCACTTCAATTTTTAATTTTTAAGCACCTAGTTTCGAAAAATGCAACATAAAGCAGTCGGATTTTAAAAAGTGCTTGAGCGACGCCATCCAGGACGCCATCGAGCAATTGGAAGACCCAATTCCTAAACTGGGGTTACCCAGCATAGATCCATTTAGGCTGGAAACTCTGAAGTTGGAGATAGGGAATGCCTCTGAGGGTTTGCATCAGATATGGAGCAATGTAACAATTCAAGGCTTGAGTAAACCTGCTGCTACAGATGCAAGGTAACGATTTACAATGGACTCCAAAATTGTATATGTTGTTGTTTAATTTCTTAACTAGGTGGACTTCTGGGTCTGTCATCACCTTAAAACTTGAAGTTAGCTACGATAGGGTATTTTTCACCGCCAACTATGAAGCCAACGGCGCAGTTCTTCTTCTCCCGATTGACGCGATTTCGCCATTTACTTGCGACTTCGTGAAAGGCGGAAAAATTATAGTAACATACAAAATCGAAAAACCTAAAAAAAGTAACGGATATTTTAAACTGATTAGTACTAAGGTTCTACTTGAACCCAAGAAGGTCAAATTTACTTTTAATAAGTTCTTCGATAATCAAAGTCTAACGACTGCATTAAACGCGGAAATCAATAAAAATTGGGAGGCAAGCTGGAGTTTTGTTCATGGGTTTTTGGGTGTTTATGACCCATTTTTTGATGCTTTGCTTAGAAGTATTTTGGAAAAAGTTCCAGCTGGTCAAATTATCAATGGTCTGGACTAGAACCGTATATTGCTCCCAACTACGGTATTTTAAATAGGTATATGTTAAAAATGCACGAATTGTGAAATAATCTACAAACCATGAATAAAAAATAAATAAAAAAATATAGAGTAGACAAACTGTGCTTCATATGTAGTTATATTTTTCCTTAAAAACTTGAGAAGAACAAGCATTAAGTTAGCCCTAGTGCTACTCCGCCAGTGTATATGATTCGAACGCATTATGTCAAGACAACACACTTGATGATATTTGGTCTGGAAAGCACTTGTCCTCACTCATAAATAAAATAAAATTGTTTAAACTTAAATATCTAATTAACAAAAAAAAACGTATAAGAAAACAATAAAAAAAAATTAAACTGTAACTTCAATAAACAAACAAAATTATACATATTATAATAATAGTAATGTTTATTTCCAACGGGTAAGCACCCAGTTACAGGAAACAAAAAGAAAAACAATGTAGGCATAAGAATAAGAAAAAATAATACAATAAAACAATATTCCCTAATTCTCTAAATAAGAAATTGCAGCGTTTCCTATTATCCATTCACGATCTTTATACAGTAAAGTAGGCCTTGATATTTTTTCTTTAAGTTGGATAAACTGATTTGATGATTTATTAGTTTTTTGTCTGTCAGTAGTCTGATTGACATTTGCTTCGAGCTGGATTGCCACTTTTCTACTTCATTTATTAGATCAGAATTATTAGACGCAATTTTTTAATGAAGCAAAAAAATGTTTTAATTTTGTCAACATAGATAATTTGTCATTGCGACATTATTTAAAAAGAAAATCTCTAAAATAATTTTACTGCAACAAAAAATTGCAATAAAAAGATGTTTTTTGCAGTTTCGAAAAGACAGGTCCGATCTTTCTTTCGCAGAAGTAACTTAGACATAAATCACTCACGTTTTGACCCAAAATGTGAAGTACTTAAAAAACAAGTGCAACGCGCCCAGGCTAAAACAAAATATAACAATATATAGCAACCACAGCAAAATCAAGAAATATCTGACTTGAGAATTTTGTTTTTAAATATACAGTCCATCAGGAATAAAACTAATCTGCTAGAAGCTATTTTACATAATCATAATTTTAGTGTCTTGTGCATAAGTGAGCACTGGTTAACCAGTGATGAAACAGAATGCGTTACAATTAATAATTTTATAGTGGCTGATTATTTTTCGAGAGTGATTCACACTCATGGTGGCGTGGTTCAATGCATAGATCCTTCCCTACAGTATGAAGACCTACCACAACTAAGTAATATATCCAAAGAAATTCATTGTGAGTTAATCGGCATATATGTACATAAATTTGATGTATTGTTAATATCATTGTATAGATCATCCAGTGGTGATTATGATGTTTTTATTGAAACTTTAGTCAAGTTACTTAATATCATTAATTATGAACAGAAACGTATACTAATTGGGGGTGACTTTAACCTTCATTTTAATGTAAACGACGTAAAGGAGCAAATGTTTTGTGGTTTCTTACTTAGTTATGATTTCCAACCTTTAGTGACTTTTCCAACAAAGAGAAGTTCCTGTATTGACAATGTCTTTTGCAATTTCTCAAGTGAAAACATAAAGGTGAGTGTTTTTGAGACCCATCTGTCAGATCATAGAGGAGTAGCTATTAGTTATTTCTCAAATTTTTAAAACACAAGAAAAACAATTCAAACTTACAAGACCCCTTACGAATCATGGTAAATTAATTTTTTTTAATCTATTAAGTGCAGTTAATTGGGACTTTGTAAAATCTGATATTGATATTAACAGTAAGTTTAACATGTTCATTAATACCATCTTATATAACTATTATATTGCATTTCCTGTAAAAACTATAGTCTGCTATAATAGAAGCAAAATTCCAAGTAATAATTGGTTTTCAACAGAACTTCAAAAGATGAGAGAAACATTAAAATTGCTTTCCGAAGCTTATAAATTGCATGGAACTTTAGAACTCAAATCGTTGTTACTGGAATTTAGACGTAAATACAATATAGCTATTAAAATATAAAATAAATATATTAGATTAAACAAAAATAGTCCTAAAGCAATGTGGAAATTGATCAAATGTAAAAATCCCAAAAAACAACCTAAACAAACTTTTGCCGTAACACCTGATGAATTTAATGCCTTTTTTACAAATATTGCTACAGACATCATTTCAACCTTGGGTCCCCCAAAATTTGATCCCATTAGCTTAATGACAAATATACCTAATATAAATACCTCATTTAATTTTAAACAAGTAACTTACATCCAAGTACGAGATGCTTTTGTTAGCGTACGAAATAATAATTCGAAAGACATTTATGGATTTACAGTACCACTTATTAAATCCCTTAAAGACATATTAATACAACCGCTTACCAATCTGATAAACTCCTGCATTGAAGTGAATTTATTCCCTGATTGTCTCAAACGAGCCAGTGTGGTTCCTATATACAAAAAAGGCGATCCTGATGATATTGGCAATTACAGGCCAATATCATTATTACCAATTTTTTCGAAAATTTTTGAGAAACTAATGCTACAGCAGATTACGAAATATCTAAACAAATATAACCTTCTGACATTACAACAATTTGGTTTCCGTAAAGGCCTCTCTACTTCTACAGCCATCAGTGCACTAGTCGATAAGATAATCCAGAGCTTTGAACGTAAAGAATATTACTCAACCCATTTCTTAGATCTCAGTACGGCTTTTGATTGCGTAACTCACGATATTCTGTTAAGAAAATTATATTACTATAATTTCCAACCACCGAGTATAAATCTGATTATGAGTTACCTTAAAAATAGAACGCAAAGCTTATCAATTGAAAACAGATCATCTTGTACTTATTCTGTTAATTACGGATTTCCTCAAGGGTCCATTTTGGGACCAATATTGTTCTTGCTATATACAAACGATCTTCCAGACTACCTTAAAGAAGTTGATGTAACTCTCTACGCTGATGATACTTGCATTGGTACAGCAGGAGTAACTGCCGACCTTGCCTTCAACGCCAATCAAAATTCTATGAAGAAAGCCGCAGAGTGGTTCAGTGCAAATAGACTTAATTTAAATAAAACAAAATGTGTCTCAATGCTCTTCACATTAAGACCCTGCGAATGTTCCATCGAATGTGCGGAATATACAAAGTACTTAGGAGTCATTATCGATAAGGAACTTACTTGGTGTCAGCACGGTAATTGTATGTCAGATAAAATTTCAACAAATACCTTCCTTTTAAGAAATTTGGCTAATAATCTTTCTTTAAACTGTTTATGTATGGCCTATTATGCTCTGATACACTCTCTTCTCAATTATTCCATTTTAGTCTGGGGGCACTCATCATCTTTATCACGACTCTTTAAACTACAACGAAGATCAATCAGAATAATAGTTAATATAGGATACAGAGAAGATTGTAGAGCGTACTTCAAGTCACTAAAAATACTTACACTTCCTTCGCTTTATATTTATCGATGTTTGGAATTTATTACTCGGCATACAGAATTATATCCCAAAGTCAACCTCTATCACAACTACAGGACTAGACACGAGGATATTTGTTTCATAAACTTGCGTCTCACTAAGTCGAGGGATGCCATTAATTATTTTTGCATAAAATTTTTGAACACTTTGCCTGACGAAGTACGTAGAAACAACAGTCATGATTTTCTAAAAAATGTGAAACAATATTTGATACGAACGGCATTTTATTCATTAGATGAATACCTAAATAATAATTTTAAAGACCTGGTGTTACTATCTAGTGGTGCTTAATTTATTATATAGTAGATCATATATATTTATAGAGTTAATTCTAATTTGCAAACTTATAATTAACATGATAAAACAAAAAAGGCATCACTGGAGTAGATACAGAAAATCCGGACTGTTGTATCATCTCGATAAATTTAAAGAACTTAAAAAAAAATTAAAAGTGAAATACAAAGAGCGTATCACGGATTTATACTGACAGCAGAAAATTCCATCAAACGAAATCCAAATAATTTTTGGTCATTTATAAACGCAAAGAGGGGTTAAAGCAGGATACCTGCATCTATGACATGTAACAACAACACTTTGAATTCTCCACAGGAAATTGTAAACGTGTTTGCTCGCCAATTTGCTTCCGTGTTCAGTCATGATGAAAACCATATATGTGATCAGTTCTGTGATAATGTAAACTCTGTTTGTAATTTCTGTGATAATAGGTGATCTTTACGTATTAAACCTGGCTGTGAATATTTCCTTGTTTTACATATGTTCAAGATTGATCACTGTGAAATATTAAGAGCAGTGAAAAAAATTAAGTGCAATGGTGTCTCCCGTCCTGATGGTGTTCCTGCGTATATTGTGGGTGATTGTGTTAATTGTTTTCTGTTTCCCATCTGTTATATTTTTAATTTAATTTTAAAAACTACATCCTATCCTATTGTCTGGAAAAACTCAAAAATTTGTCCTATCTTTAAATCTGGCGATAAAAGTGACATACTTAAAAAATTATAGACCTGTTGCACTGTGATCCAATTTTGCTACGCTTTTTGAGTGCATATTATCATGTAGTCAATTTTATAAACAAAGAACAGCATGGTTTTGTAAAGGGAAAGTCAACGGCAACCAATCTATTTGAATTTACACAATTCACTTCCCAGGCTCTTGATGAGAGAAAACAAGTTGACGTTGTAATACACAGACCTGGCTAAGGCTTTCGATAAAGTGCATCATTGTATTTTACTTAACAAATTACAAAACTTCGGTCTCTCTTGTAGTTTAGTTCAACTATTGAAATCAGTTATAATGTGCAGGCGCCAATATGTGGAATATAGTAGTTATCAATCAGAAGAATTTTCTTGTAATAGTGGAGTCGTCCAAGGTTCCAATCTTGGACCACTTCTTTTTATTATATTTTTTAATGACGTTTGTGAATACATAAATTGTAAGTTTTATGTGTACGCCGATGATCTAAAAATTGTCAATATTATAAACTCATACTCTGACTGTTTGCATCTTCAACACAGTATTGATTTGTTTGCAGAATATTGTAGCAGGAACTTTCTTCGCATTAATACAGCAAAATGTAAAGTAATGTCAATCAGTAGGAAAAATATTAA